TCCTTCTGGCGCGTGGCATCCCTGTTGGCTCGAAGCATCTTAACTTTTTATATATATATAGATATATATATATATAATATATCTATATATATTAAAGTGAGAGCGTCAAACGCACTCTCATAATCTCTGATTACAACTAGTTTTAGTTTATTTTTGCCGACATCTATCCTGGTGATTCCCTGGGATTAGCAGATGCCCAGGGATTTATTCCCGGGGGAAAACGGTAAATATCTCGAACATTCCTCACATTGTCAATGTTAAACTTACACATATAAAAAGGATATAAGAATTACTTACTTAAAAAATAAAAATTACAAGGTTACCTCGTATGGGGAAAACCATTCTCGTAGTAACTTCGTACATGGCGGCCAACCACAACCTTGCGCTAAACCATTGACACTCCAAAGAAATGTTAACAGCCATACGTTACCAGTGAAACCAATTGTAATGTTTATAACACCAGTTAGTAACATTCCCGCCGTAAACATCGTCCTAGGACTCAACGTGTCCGACAAAAGCCCTCCGGTAAATTTACCTACGCCATACATCGCCGAAAAGCCACTTGTTATAACTCCAAGCTCGTTCTTTTTTAACTTTAGATCCCGTAGCAAAGCTGGAATAGCAAAAGTGTATGATTTTCTGGAGAAGTAATAAGAGGAATAACCTAAAAATAGCGAAATAAACACCGTCCATCGAATTCTTTGATAACGACGAGTGTTAGAGCCCATCGGAGCCGCCATGTTTGTATCACGTGACTGGGAATATTTTCGCGCGCGATTTATTTTGACAAAAGGCCAGCTAGACTACTTTCCCGCGAGATTCAAAGTTTTATCATCGCGATTATAGACACAACTTAAGCAGTTGTGAAATTAAAGCCTGAAAAAAATCAGGTTTGAACGGGATATTTATATATTCCCTTGTAATTGAAAAAAAAAAGGAAATCAAATCGATAAATGGCAAACTAGAGAAGTATATTCTGTCCATNGACTACTTTCCCGCGAGATTCAAAGTTTTATCGCAATTATAGACACAACTTAAGCAGTTGTGAAATTAAAGCCTGAAAAAAAATCAGGTTTGAACGGAATATATATATATTCCCTTGTAATTGAAAAAAAAGGAAATCAAATCGATAAATGGCAAACTAGAAAAGTATATTCTGTCCATTGTCGTTTCTTCTTAGTCACAAGTGAGCCGGCAGGCGAGCGTTTAATGTCCGTGGGTGTGACTGATTTCGCTAGCGTCCTGGATAATTTTAAGAGAAAATAGAAGCTTAAGATATGAGAACGGGAAGAGAAAAGCAAAATAGCTGTCGTAATGTTACTAACTTTGTTAGAATTTGAATGATGTTTTCGAGAAATTGTCACCAAACAATCTCAGCCTTTCTGTCTGGTGCGCTTGTTAATGTTTTTCAACACCTTGATTTTTTTCAACCATTATTGCTTAATTGCGCGGTTCATTCCATAAAGGAGTACTTAAATATTTTGCTGATATGCTTCGTGTAGTAAGGTTTGATAAAGAAGATATGGCCGATTCAGCAAGGACTGATGAATCATTTAACTTTTTCAATTCAGCTTATGAATGTTGTTTTCAACTCAAGAATTCATTTCTTTTATGACCTTTGATTTGGATTGCGCCTAGCACTTTTTGCACTTGAACTGGACGAGTCAGATAAAAGTGCAGAGTTTTTCAATTATATTTTTCTTCAGCTGTATATATTCATAAATTGGCGGTCATAGACTTATAACAACACAGCTTGCAGACACACTTACTTTTGGCGCGCCTGGTCAAAGCGATACCGAGAAACACAATTAGATTCGGGTGTTAAAATTGAGCAATACTCTTTCGTATTGGGTGGACGCAGTTCTTAGGGTGAGAGCTCTTGAGTAACATTTCTGGCTTAACCGAGCTGATAGG